GATAGCTACTCCCGACCTGAGCAGATCATGCCAACAAGGGATCTCAGTGGCCTCCGGGAACTGGGCACACCAGGCGTCCGTCAGGCGACCGAAGAAGCACTGGGTGGCGTGGAGGCCGCCACACTGCTCTCCAGTGCGGTCGCCGGTGCGCAGGACGTAGGTACAGGGACCAGTACCTCCAGACCCCTGGCGCCCCGCGTACCACTCACGAAGCTGCTGGGGTGAAGGGGTCTCACGAGAGCGCTGCTGCTGCTGGGGTCCCCGCTGTACAGCTCCGCCTCTGCCAGCTCCACCTCCGCCGCCGCCACCTCCGCCGCCCCCACCCCTCCCGCCACCGCCACCGCTGCCTCCACCTCCACCGCCGCCACCGAAGCCCCCACCTCTGCCACCACCCCCACCCCCACCCCCTCCGCCGCCTCCACCGCCACTACCGCCGCCCCCACCACCTCCTCCAGCTCCCTTGCCCCGCTTGCCCTTGCTGAAGCGGCGCCTCTCACTAGGAGCAGACGCAGCGCTGACCGACTCGGTGCCAACAAGGTCGACAGCAGCAGCAGAGGCAACAGTGGGCAAAAGAGGAACGGGGGAGCACCCCTCAAAGAAAGGGGTACGGGGGTCACCACGAGAGGCGCCTACAGCGGTAATACTAGTCTCGGCTGCAAGGAGGCGCTCCTCGAGGAGGTCGACAGTGAGGGTGGTAGGGCAAAGAGAGAGGAAGTGGTCCCTGACCGAGCGGAGAGTGTCAGGGAGTCGAGTGACTAGGTAGTAGAGGGTGATGTACATGGGGGGGGGGTTCTGGGCGCAGAACTCAGCAGGGAGCGCAGCGCGGTAGCGAGTGTCACTAGTGCGGAGGTGTGTAGTGAGATCAGTGACTGTGGCAAAGGCAGCAAGGTCAGGGAAAAGGTACGGTAGCATGAGGCGGCTTAGCGCAGCAGTGGCAGGGGAAGAGTAGCGTGCAACTACAGCGTCGTACAGAGTCTTAGCACTCTTGTACTGACTAAAGTGCGCGCGCTCAGTAGGCGGTAGGTGACTGCGCACAGCAAGGCGGGCAGCAGCATCGCACGTGAGCCACTGCGAGCGAACGGTACTGTCAGCATCAGCAGCAGGGGCAGTAGAGGCGCCTGACGTAAGGTCAAACAGGGAGAGGCCATCTCTGCTATCGCACTGAAGGAAAAGCTGTAAGTCATCTAGCCAGACATCAAAGGCAACCGCTCGACCCTCAGCATCAAAGGTGAGAAGGGTAGGACTAGACATGATAGGAGCAGCAGGAGACTAGCAGCGGCAGCAGCGCAACTGAGCTAGGCAGGACAGTGCGACTCGGTAGGGCGACTCGGCAGCGCAGTGCGGCTCGGCCGCGCGGCTCGGCCCGGCTGGGCTCTTACCAGGGGCAGAGCTGAGGGTTCGGGACGGGGTCGGGGCCGGAACAGGGCCGGGACAGGGTCGGGGCCGAGCAGGGTCCGGGACGGGGCAGCAACGGGGCCGAGACAGGGTCGGGGCCGGGGCAGGTCCGGGACAAAGCAGCAACGGGGCCGGGACAGGGTCGGGGCCGGGGCAGGTCCGGGACGGGGTCGGGGCCGCGTGGTCGCGTAGGGGCCGCGTCAGGGACAGGGCCGGGCCGTGAAGGGACGGCGTAGGGGCCGCGTCAGGTGCAGTAGAGGGCCGCGTTAGGGGCGGCGTAGGGGCCGCGACAGGGGCGGCGTAGGGGTCGCAACAGGGGCGGCGTAGGGGCCGCGTCAGGGGCCGCGTCAGTGGCCGCGTCAGGGGCCGCGTCAGGGGCCGCGTTAGGGGCCGCGTCAGGGGCCGCGTCAGGGGCCGCATCAGGGGCCGCGTCAGGGGTGGCGTATGGGCCGCGACAGGGGCGGCGTAGGGGCCGCGGAGGGGCGGCGCAGGGGGCCGCGTCAGGGGCGGCGCAGGGGCCGCGGTAGTGGCGGCGGAGGGGCCGCGTCAGGGGCCGCGTCAGGGGCCGCGTTAGGGGGAGCGTCAGGGGCCGCGTCAGTGGCCGCGTCAGGGGCGGCGTAGGGGCCGCGTCAGGGGCCGCGAAGGGCCGCGTCAAGGGCCGCGTAGGGGCCGCGTCTGCGGCGACGTAGGGGCCGGGTAGGGGCCGCGTAGGGGCCGCGTAGGGGCCGCGTAGGGGTCGCGTAGGGGCCGCTAGGGGGGCCGCATAAAAAAAAAAAAAAAAAAAAATAGGGCAGGGGCGCAACGCGCGTCGGGCAGCTAAAAAAAAAATTCGTTATGGTGGGCCCTTAGGAAGGAACGGTCCCATGTAGGAACCCGCTCTATACCATGTGAAGAAAGAAACAGGAATGAATGAACTATGAATGAGTTTCGTACAAATAAGAAACCTGTACCCCTTAGAGTCTACCCCACTACAGCCTACATGTGCTAAGACATATATATCTGACAGGCATGCCTTTGCTTTCAGTTTCGCCGTCTCGGGGGGGAAGGCGGCCTCCGCGGGCGAAACCGGTGCGTGCACGCTTGAGGGCCGCCACGTCGGCTACCGCGAGCTTGTAAGAGCGGGACGTGAGCACGCTCTTGGCTTGGTACAGCTGGAACCGATCCGCCGCCTCGAAACCGGCCTCATCCGCCACCAAGAGCACCTCGAAACGTTTGTTGATCAACGTTTCGACTTGCGCCACGTTGGATAGCACGCCCTCGACGTCGCCGTGTTGGAGCTTGAACTCGACGTGCCTCAAATGAGCTTGAATTGCAGAGAACACCTCCGCCTGGTCACGTACTCCCTTGCGCATGAAGGTAGTAGCTGCGGGTGTAGGGTTGAGGGGGGGGGGGGGGGGGTGCGGGTGCGAGAATGCGACGGCGAGCAAGGTTGTCGGGGGCCTCACCGTCTTCATTTTCCGAGTCGTCGCTGTCGTCGGGGATACTGGCTTGGGTTGGTGCCAGAGCTGGGGGGGGAGCAGGAGCAGCGTTGTTGGTGCGAGCGACCTTGGTGGAGCGGGGGGGCGCGACAGGTTCCTTCTGCTTTTCAATTTTAGTAGAAGCAGAAATTTCTTCAGTCGATGTAGCTGTAGTCGATGGCGCGTGCTGCTGCAATAACGAGAGCAGTGCCTGTAGCTGCTGCGTAGTCAAAGGGGGGGGGGGGGGGGGGGGGGGGGGGGGGGGGCGTTGACCGGCGTGATGTCAGCGGAGGGTGCCGCGCGCTGGCGTTTCTGGGTCGTGGGCCCGGGTGGACCTGTGTCAGCGGCGGTCGTCTTCTTCTGCGTGGCACGCGCGTGGAAGCGACTGAGTCTTCGCCAGTGTGGACGAGAACGAAATTAGAACTACAATTTCGGAAATGAAACGTGGGTGGGGACGAATGTACCCACGTCCCTCTTTTGTAGGCAAAAGAGGGTGAGTAGCGCTTTGGCGCTACCTTTGCTGTGTTGGCCACATACCCCTTTTCACAATACAAAATTTTAGAAAGTGTTACATTTCATTACACTTTCAAAAATTATCATTTTGTGCTTTCACATTCCACACCACAGTTTCACACTACCAGTATTCCACTCTGCTTCTCCCTCTCCAACCCAGTGGTGCCAAAGGGCTCATGCCTGTCCCAGGCCGCCGAAACTACCTTACTGTAGTATCCTGCATTCTCAGGAAAGTCGCGATACCGTACTAGCAGCAAACGAACAACTTGGAACATGTGGGATGCAGGGCCTCAGATTGGTTTTGGGGCACCCTGATCACTCAGTGTTCTTTGAGGACTAACACTGATTTTCAGTGTCATCATCTAAAAAACACTGATTTTTCAGTGTTCACAAAAGAATTACACTGATCAATCAGTGTTCTAAATAACATAAACACTGATTTCCTTTGCTAGTATGGGGAATTATGATAGCATCGAGTATGGTTTGCTCAGCACACCACACCAGCACCACGATGCCAGCATTGGAGGGAAACACGTACCTCTGGCTTTGTGTGCTGCGAGGCCAAATCAGTCAAGAGGGTACAGGTTATTAGTGGCAACCAATCAGAACTTGAGAAGTTTACCACCTGGCACGAAGGATGCCATGTGCAGCAAAACAGCTGGCGGTACTGTAGGAGCTTGACAGGCGAAGTAGCAGGTCATGGCGCAAATCACAGGATGAACTCCCTACAACACTTGGGCCAATCAGATTGCACCGTTTCTAGTTTCAGGGTCGAACTCGATGCAACACTGACTCGTCAGTGTCCTCAAACACAAAACACTGAAAAAACAGAGTTACACATAAAAAAACACTGAAACATCAGGGTCGTTAAAAAAAAAAGGCTGATACATCAGGGTCACGATAAAAAACGAGGGTCAAACTTCAGGAATTCAGGGTAAAAATCCTGACTTCTGAGGCCCTGGTGGGATGGTATATTTCAGGTCTCGCCTAGAAAGACAAGGGAGATGTACAGCTTAGTCCCAACTGATGTTGCAACGTGAAACCGCTAGCATGCCCTACCTACCCATCAATGTGCTGTGCTGCTGCTGCTACCCTCTCCTCTCCAACCACCGCCCTTGTGCATGCCACATGAACGTCAGCAAGCATTGCAACTCTGATCCCTCTACAGTGCTTTAAGCTTCCTTGTACCGTACAAGCAGTTGGTCACTGCCAGCGCCATCTCCTCGACCACTCCCTCCTACGCCAATATGACTCCTCCATCCATACTGCTGCCCGCCCGCCCGTCTGCAAGAAGAGATGACATCAGTCAATGAAACCACCCCCAGCAGCTCATCATCCTCCCCGGTGACCCACACGCGGTTGGTCACTGCCAGCGCCATCACCACCACTACTCATGCCTTCTCCTCCCACCAACCACTAGGGTTCCTGCCCCTGCATTCACCCCCTTCTCTGGATCCTCCACTTTTCGCCCTACCGCTGCCCGCCTGCCCGTCTGCAAGCCGAGATGACATCGGCCAGTGACACCACTCCCAGCAGCTCATCATCCTCCCCGGTCACCCACACACGGATGGTGACTTCCAGCGCCATCACCACCACTCATGCCCTCTCCTCCAACCACCCACTATTGGCCCTGCCCTACCGGTGTCCACCCGCCCGTCTGCAAGCCGAAATAACGTCAGTGAGCGACACCACTCCTAACAGCTCGTCCTCCTCCCCGGTGACCCACACGCGGTGCACGCGGTTGGTGGCTGCCAGCGCCATCACCTCGGCTAGCGGCGCCGCCATGCGACACATGATGGATGGGCGGCGACCTTCAGGGGTGAGCGACGCCATGTGAGCCAGGAAGTCCCGCACCTGAAGGGGAGGGGGCGAAGAGAGGGAGGATTGTGGGAGTTGTGTAAGGAGCAAGTGAGCGAAAAGGAGGACATGCACCGCCCAAGAAGGACATGCACCGCCCCCCTCCCTTCATTCAAGCACAGGGTCCAAGTAGACATGCTATGTGAGGCAGCCAAGACATCCTGGTGTGAATGTACCTGAGCTAATCAACAAAGAAATCGCCAGCACTGCACAGGTAGGAGGAGCATTTCTCACCTTCATGCAAGTGAGCCGCGGTAGAGTCTCTGCATCCATGCCCCTCGGATCCAACACCGTGCAACAGGCATCCACACACACACACACACACACACACACACACACACACACACACACACACACACACACGGGGCACACAGATGCTTCAATCGCCTCTCTCACCTTCATGCAAGTGAGTTGCGCTAGAGTCTCGGCGTCCATGCCCCTCAGATCCGACACTGACAGAGTCCCCAGCAGCCGCCCCCCCCCTCACCCACCCCGCCTCACCCCTATCCCTCCCCCTCCCTCCCCCACCCCGTCCTCCTCCCCTTCCTCCTCCTGCCACGTCAGCAGCACCAGCAGCACCAGCACCAGAAGCAGCTCCCGACCCAGACCCCTCGCCCTCCTCCATCCGCTCCTTCTCCTCCGCACTCCCCGCCACCACCGCCACCGCCCGCACGCCGCCTGCGCGCTGCATGAGGTGCAGCGCGTCAGTGACTGTGATGCCCGACACTATAGCGAGGGGCGGGAAGAGCGGGTCCGCGAGGCCCAGCTGCTCCACTGTGCGCTGTGCCACGTCACCCAGGGCGTCCACGTGGAGCAGCAGGAAGTCTGCCACGTCAGTCTGTGAGACGAAGTGGTAGGAGTGCTTGAGAGCCGGGGGTGGTGCTTCTGATTCTGATCCTGTTGCCGGCCTAGCAGCATCTGCTGCTTCCTCTGTTGTTCCTGCTTCTCCTCCTGCCGCTGCTGCTGCCTCTCCTGTTGCGTCTGCTGCTTCTGCTCCACTCTCTGCTGCCGGTGATTCCTGAGGCTCAGGTGCCTCAGGGGTGGCGTGGCCGAAGGTCATGGCAGTCGGGGCAGCATAGGAGGGCGAGGGTGTAGCAGCGGGGGCGATGGGGCAGCGCACGAGCAGGCGGTGAATGCCCTTGCTTAGTGGCTCCATGGCGTCTACCAGACTGGCAGGGGAGGGGGGTACGAGAGGGGGGTGAGGGAGGGGGGACGGGAAGTGACAGGGAGAGAGTGAAGCAGCGCGCATGCAGGCGGCGAATGCCCTAGCTGAAATTGCGAGACTGGGAGGAAAAAGGAGGAGGAACGAAATTGCAGTTTGTGAAAGCCTTGGCTTCTTGGTTCCGTGGTACCAGCTAGACAGGAAAGCGGCAGCCGAGACTCCTGACTCAGGGTACTCACTATGTTGAGCTGGAGGCGACCTAAAAGCTCTCAACTCAGAGACTCAAAGCTCGACGTTAAATCTCGAAAGTTGAAAGTCCAAACTCCAAGACACAAAAATTGCAACTCACGGCGTGGAGCTGGAGGCGACCCAGAGAGAGAGCCCTTCAGGCGAGTTGCCAATGAGGCTCACCACACCCGCCTTGAGCGCTGCTGGCCTCGCTCCCTCCCTCACTAGATGCATTGCCACGTCCGCCATGCTCACCACTCCCTGATGGTTTGGGGAGGGTGGTGGGAAGAGGGGGGCGCAGAACGGAGGGGGTCAAGCCGAGTGTGCCTTTCCCTCCCTCACTAGATGCATTGCCACGTCCGCCATGCTCACCACTCCCTGATGGAGGGGAGAGAGGGGAAGCAGACGAGTATAAGGGAAAATGCTCATGAGGCTCGCCACACCCGCCTTGAGCGCTGCCGGGCGTGCACCTTCCCTCATTAGATGCATCGCTACATCTGCCATGCTCACCACTCCCTGGTGGAGGGAGTGCGGTGGGAAGAGGGGGAGCACAAAGGAGGGGGTAAAAACGAGTGTGTTTTTCCCTCCCTCACTAGATGCATCGCCACGTCCGCCATGCTCACCACTTTCTGATGGGTGAAGGGGGAGGAAAGATGCATCGAATGAAGGAGAGGAAAAGGATAACAAGTGAGAGGGGGCATGTGTCGCCCTCCCTCACTAGATGCATTGCCACGTCCAGCATGCTCACCACGCCCCGATGGATGGGGGAGCAGGTGCGTTTGGATGGAGGGGACGAGCGCCAGGGAGAGGGTGGTAGTGAGGAGGGGAAACATCAAAGAGAGAATGACTCCCTCTCTCTTTCTCCCTCGCTGCATGCACTGCCGCGTCTACCATGCCATAGCACAGCAGGGGACGGAAGGGGGAGAAGGAAGGGAAGCACGGCAGCACCACTGCTCACTCGCAAAGTTGTCACACCGTAATCGTTAGTTACAACAGTGCAGCCCTGTGTGTTTCTTTCCAAACTGTGAGATTACCAGCTCACGTCGCTACAATGATGTACCCCATACACTGTGACGCGTTATAAGCTGCAGCTCACAACGGTACCAGTACCAGCTAACACCGTTACCAGCTCACAATGTACCAGCTCACAATGTACCAGCTCACAATGTACCAGTTCTCATGTGACTCGTTATAAGCTACTGTACGAGCTCACAATGTACTGCTTCTCCCCGTCCACGATGTTCGCCCCGCCCGCCCCGAGCCACTTCCCCGGCGGTGCCGCCACTGGCAGCGCCACTATGCCGTTCGCATTCATTAGCTGGGGAGGGCGGCGGGGGAAAGAAAGGAGGAGGGAGGGGAGGGGGGGGACGCGGGGGCGAGGAGGAGGGGGGTGGGGAAGAGGGGGTTAGCGGGGTAGGAGAAGAGGGAAAGAGAAAGAGGGAAGGGGAGAACGAGAGAGGGGAGGGGGAGGAGGGGAACAGACATGGGGGGATGAAGGGGCCGGGAGAAGGATTAGAGACAGGGAAAGCGGTGTAATGAAAAGAGATGCGCGGGTTACGGACGCGAAGAAGGGACGCAGGGGAGGGGGAAGCAAGAATGAACACTAGTAAGTGTACGGATGAGCCAATAAATGCTTACAACCCGCTTCGTTATGCGCATGCCCGTCCCAATCCGCCAGAAACAAGTTCCTGTTACCTCGAGAGCGTCCAGTACAGTGGCGGTGTCGGGCACCGATATAATCTCCCTCTTTTCCGATACAAGCGCGCCGATCTCCGTCCGCTCGAGCAGACTCGCCATGGTGCGGGAGTGTGACAATAACGAAATGGAATCCTGGCGGCTCGGGCTGACCGGAAGGCCTGACGCTAGCAAGTCAGTCCTAGTGTCGTTAGAACTAACGGTAAGCGGTGATGACGACGAATGAAGCAGAGATTTAAGCGGTCACGAGCGAGAGGGGGCCTATGGGAGGAAATTATTCGCGCTGTGGGAGTCAGTCCAAGGAACTGAAACGAAGTGCGCGTTAGAAGCTGAGTGCGCATGCATTCGTGATTTTCTTTTAGAGCTACCGTGCTCTGGTGGTACTGAATGCGACCGTCTGGAGCGAAAACAAAACTGTCAATGAGAAGAGAGAAGCAAGAAGGGTTGCTATGAAGCCGAATCGCGAAGGCCGAGAAATCACGGAGACCAGCTGTGCTTCTGTTTGAACACAATGGTCGGATCTCCACACTAATGGAATGCCACCGGACTGATTCCGAATCAGACGAATGCCACCGAATTTTGCCTCTGCTGGGGGGAGTTGGAATTCGAATGTGCTTATTCAAATGCAATGGTGCCACAATGGCGAGGCCCACCACGCCATCAGGTGCTGCGCATGAGATGGATTGCCGCAGGTGCCACCTGCTGTCACGTGGCCGGAACATCGTGGAAATGCAGCGAGACACGTGGCACCGTGATCAGCTCCTAACAAGACTCGATGTAAACGTCGGAAGGGTTGAGTAGCTTCTGCACCATAGGTACAAACCATAATGTATATAACAAACAAATGTAGTATGTATTAAGGTACATACCACGTGATACTAATATACGTAACCAAATTACAATGGTGTAAGATGTATTAATGTCACGAAATTACTACGCCATTTTTTAATGTATCCATTACGGGTCTTTTTTGTTTTGCAATTGAGTCACAATTAAAATCATAATTTCCAAGCATCAATGACTCATCGCTCATTTGCCTAAAAAATTAACATAGATGTTGAAACTGTCAGAATCCTGAACAAGAATGAATGCATTGAACAGAAAGTTGGTACAAGTACTAACCCTAATTGGGTTGTACCCTTTATGGGCTACAGCCTACACAAATGTAAGCACTACAACATTCTAACACACCCCCATAGTCAAAGTGGAGGAGAACAAGTAGTCACAAGACCAGTCAAGAAAAGAAAAGCAAACTCAGGGTGGATCACGAAGTCACCATACACTCTGAGCACAAGCAAATGGCCACAAGGCTAGTTCACATGCACAATTCTATAAAAGAGAACAAACAGTACAGTTATCATACCCTAACAAGTGTTGTTAGAATCTGAACTGTTTGAATAGGATCGTAGTCTTAGGATAGTAGCTTCCTGTAGCAGTGGAAGTCTTTTATATGAGTGACTTGTAACAGGATCAAAGGTCTCTGAAATCAAGTATATTATAAAATGACAAGCATACAGAATATATAACGACTAAAGTACCTGTTCGCCTACTGTGCTGTATTTATTCGCGCTATTCCTGTTCTGAAAAGGTACGTGACTATTCGCGATACCTACAGCTACTGATGACGTCATCCTAAGACGCGTAGCGCTTTGCTGACGTCAGTCTATCGGTACTTTTACTGTACAAACTATACGAATTCCTTGAAGTGCATAAGTCTCGACATTATCTCAACACTCCCCTTCACTTCTAGGAGTTCGGTGTAGTCACCCTGTTGACTCGGAAATGCCACTGAGCTGGTTGCAGTGATGAAATTCCTGACGTGTCAGCTTCTTAGTAAGCGAATCAGCGCCCATGTCGCTGGTGGGGCAGTAGACAAGGCGCATTCTCCCCTTGTTGATCGCGTCTTTTACGAAGAAGTAACGCAGCGAAATATGCTTCGTGCGATTGACGAAACCAGGCTTGTTGGCGATGGTAATTGCACTCTGGTTGTCGCACTGCAACGTGAACTGATTCGGCGTGACGAATTTTGCTTCGTCAAGTAACTCCTGCAGGTACAGACCTTCGCGAGTTGCAGCACAAGCGGCGATGAATTCTGCTTCAGCCGATGAAAGTGACACCAGTTCCTGTTTCGAGGAATTCCAGGAAATCGGACCAATCGGCTCGAGACGGAAAATATAACCCGTGCGTGACCGTCGATCTGACGTGTCGCCAGCGTGGTCTGCGTCAACGTACCCGCTGAGGTACATTTTGTCGGTCAGCTTCCCAGCATTGAAAATCAATCCGAGTGTTGGTGTAGAGACGAAGTAGCGTAGCGCACGCTGTAAGTCGAGAGAGTGTTCTTCTTTCGGGCAGCGTAAAAACTGCGCAAGGTGACTTGCGACGTAGGCAAGATCAGGGCGACAAGTGACTGCTGCAAAAAGAAGACATCCCAGTTGCTGCTGATACAGTTGAAGACCAGCTGCTGACAAAATTTTCAGATTGGGAACGTGCCCAGTGAGTGTAGACCGATAAGGTGTAGCAACGAAATTCGTGGAAATGTTGAAACGCTTAGCGAGTGACTCCGCATACTTCGAAGCCGTGAGATGAATAGCGGAAGAAGTTCGCGAAACGTTTAACCCCAGAAATTGAGTTACTTTGGTGGAAATGGTTGAGTCAAGTGACTTCTTCAGATCGGTTTCGATACGATCTCCCAGCGAAATAGACGAGCTGACGTAGAGGATGTCGTCCACGTAAGCCACTAACAACGCATAGCTCCCCTTGTCGTCTAGCCGGTACATCCCGGGATCGTGCGGCAGTTGTCGAAACCCAACCTCCGTCAGCTTCCTGTTCAAATGCTGCTGCCACAGTCGCGGTGCTTGTTTGATGCCATACAGTGATTTCTTGAGCTTGCAGACACTTGGCGGATTTGTCGGATATGTGTGCGGATATTCGACGTAGATTTCGGCATCGACGTCAGCGTACAGAAAGGCGTTGGAAGCATCAATTTGTCGAAGTGGAAAATTCTTCGCGGCTGCTTCGCAAAGAACAAGTCGAACACTCGTATGTCGACTGACCGGGGCGAAGGTAAGTGTGTAGTCGATCCCATGAGTCTGATCAAAACCACGAACCACCCATCGTGCCTTGTGTTTCTCGTAAGTACCATCCGCTTTTAGTCTTTACCCTGAAGACCCACTTACCGGTAAGAACATTTTTGTTTACCGTTTTTTCAATGGGTATAAGATCCCAAGTTCCCCTTTTCTCCAGGGCAGCCAGTTCGCGATCCATCGCTTCACGCCATTTTTCGCGATGAGGCCCTGAGAGAGCTTGTCGGGCAGTTTTCGGCTCCAAATTTACGTAGAACTGTGCTGTACCGCTGCTGCGAGTCCCAGAATTTGCAGTCCGGTCTGATAATGTGGATTATCGTCGGGACGACCTGCGAAATTGACAGAATCATTATGGTCTCCACTTGCCCCCCCAATTTCGTCAGGGTTGACACGGATGCTGCTATCGGAAACCACCGGCATTGGTTGGCGTTGTTCATCCACGAGGTAAGTATGATGAACTTCGCGGACATCCTCAGGTGCCGCGTCAGCAAGAGGAATAAACTCCGGAATTCCAGATGACGTGACGGGGACAGGTGGGTCGGGAGCAGCTTCACGTGCACCGTCAGAGTCAGGTTCTTCGCTGGCAGCAATTTCGACATCGGCGTGGCAAACGAACGAACACTGTGGAAAAGCGTGGCAGGGTTTTGCTGCATGGCAAGATGCTGTTCGAAGACGGGCAGCGTCAGATTCTCGTAGAAAATACAGTCGCGAGCAGGAACAAGAAGACGGCTGCGGTAATCCATGATACGCCAGGCAAAATATTCTTTTTCAATGCCGAGATGTAGTCCCCACTTAGCACGCTGATCGTGTCAGAAGTAGTAGGAGTACGGCCTAGGCTTAGTAGCCTAGGCCACAGTAGGACTAGTAACGAGGAGCCAAGTACGAGCTAGGAATGTGTGTAGGAACAGAATTGAGAAGGAATGATTGAACTAGCAAGCAGCAGGATACAAATGGCAAACCCTAAGGGGCTGTACTCACTATAGAGTACCCCACTGCAGGCTACACAAACAACATATTCTGACACACCCCCATAGCCAAAGTGGGGTGTAATCAGCACAATGAGCAGTCATAGCAATAGTTCATAATTATCAGCAAAGCTAGAGGCTATCACAGAGGGCAAGTGAGGAGGAGGAGGGACTATGAAAGGAGAGAAGATGGGAGGCGACGACTGAAGCTGCAGACACACGGGCAACAGAAGCGGCTGACACAGTGGCGGCTGACACAGTGGCTACCGAGACAGAGCGCCCCGGAATACTGGAGTAACTGGCTCTGCGGCTACGACGAGCGGCAGAAGCAACGGACCCACGGGCGACTGGTGCAGCAGGCTCTCAGTGGCTACCGAGACAGTGCGTCCCGGAATACAGGAGTAACAGGCTCTGCGGCTGCGACGAGCGGCAGGAGCAACAGACCCACGGGCAACAGGTACAGCAGGCTCTCTGAGCTACCAGGACAGTGCGCCCCGGACTACAGGTGCTGCGGACGACAAGACAGCAGCCTCCACTCAACCTCCCCCAACAGTCCCACACCCCTCTCACACACCCCCTGTTTCACCCCTAGCTCCATTCCCACATCACCCCCCTAGTGCCACTCCCCACGACTCCCACACCTCCACCCCCCTCAGCGGCAGCTGCAGCAGTGGGAGACGAAAAAGGAGGAGGGGAGAACCCACACCTCTCATCCCCATGCTCGCCACCCCACACCCCAACCACCGCGGAACGCACGATGGAATGGGAGCAATGGGCAGCACGGGGGGGGGGGGGGGGACGGGCTTCTGTAGGGGCGGCAGCTGCAGGTGCGGGCTGCTCCAGGGGCGGCTGCTGCAGGTGCGGGCTGCTCCAGGGGCGGCTGCTGCAAGGGTGGGCTGCTCCAGGAGCGGCTGCTGCAGGTGCGGGCTGCTCTAGGGGCGGCTGCTGCACTGGCGGGCGGCTCCAGGGGCGGCTGCTGCAGGTGCGGGCGGCTCCAGGGGCTGCTGCTGCAGTGGCGGGCGGCTCCAGGGGCGGCCGCGGGGGGGGAAAACGC